CATTTAGTGAGAAAAAGAAGCGAAAGAAAAGAAAATCTAAAATGGTCCATTATACCTACAAAGATGAGTGCTGTGCTTCGGTTGATGAAGAAAGCTGTTCTTTGGCTGGGAAGAAGAAGATGAAGAAATGTAAAACTGAAGAGAGTTATGATATTTGTATGAATAAATGTGCAATTGATGAAGAAAGCTGTTCTTCGGCTCAGAGGAAGAGGAAGAAAAGAAAATCTGAAGCAGTCCATGATTCTTGTGAAGATAAATCTAAAGACTTAACACAGAAATTCGAGGAAAGAAAAGCAGGAAGCAATGTGAATGAACACGTTCAATCTAAATTAAAAAAGACGAAAAAGAAAGGACTTTGCTCTGATAGAAATGTTCACAAAGATACTGCAGGGGATTTAGAACAGAGAGAGCACGAAACGGCAGAAGTTATACAGACAGGTTTAGAAAAAATCAAAAAGAAAAAGAAAAAAAAGGAAAAAAAAAATAAACAAGCTGACTGACATTCAGCAAAAAAAATGCGAAGAAGTGAAGCCAGAGACACGGGAGAAAAGCAGGCATATGAAAATTAGAAAAATGAAGTAAAAAGTGTTCAAAATGAAAAAATGCAAAAAATTGCAATGTAAATTCAAATAGGACTACTGGAAAGCGATTAAATTTGCATGACCGTCAACAAACAGATCAAAAGGAAGCTCTTCGAATTTCCAAAGTGAGAATTAAATGGATTAATTAATTCTTGTTTTTTGAATATTACTAGTATTTGTTATGTTTCACAAGATAAATGTTTAAGATTTACGGATATTCAAGAAGATTTTTTTGTATATTAATTGCAATGCTTTTTAATCCCATTTAATTTCTTATCCTGTTCAACTCAATTCCATCCTATTTAATTCCTTTCTATTTGTTAGCTTACTATTTACAGTACAGTTAGGAACTTTTACATTCCACTACGTCATCAGATTATGATCCAATCACAGCGAAGCATTACAGCCAGGTGTTCCTCTTGTTTCTAATAACAATTTCTTAAATACGCCAACTCGGAATAAAAAGACAAAAAATAAATGCCAAGAAAGTTCAAAACACACGCAAAAAAGTTAAAGTTCTTTTTAAACAGCTCAGTTACTACTCAAATGGAAGTTTGCCTTCGTAAATTCGAGGAAAATGTGAATTTAGCGCTGGAACGCGNAGAACCATTCTTACGGCTGACTGGATTCGACTTGCTCGTGCGTTTCGTTGTTCTTCGTTAAGGTGATTTTGGATGCCTTGTGGTTTGTTTAAACGTCTTATTGTTAGAATAGCGAGAATAAATATTACACAACAGAGGATAAACATAATAGCTCGTTCAAATAGTAAAATAAAGGAAGTGACTCTGTTGTTCAGTAAATCGCTATTCCATAGACACCGTTGGCCATGTAGACTTGTCATATACGCCACAAGGATTGGGACTGTCATTGGCATCAACCAAGTGACAGCAATTATTGCCGTACGTTGCTTCAGTGTGTATGGTCTCGTTCTTTTCAAGGTTGTTGTTGTTGCTCTGAATCGTTGAATGCTGATTACTAATAGAGTAACTAATGATACCCTATATGAGATACTGTCCAGAAATTTTCTAGTTTTACAGAATATGACACCCAGTGTACCGCTTGGATATAAGCGCCATTTATTTTCAGGCAGCCATGGAACATAAAACAATAGGCTGATGAGTAGAAATAGGGCATCTGAGACGGCCATGTTGATGATCAAATGATGCAGGTTCTTGCGTACTGTGAATTTAGCAGCGAGTACGTTGACGAAGATGTTGAAAGAAATCCCCACTAGACTGACCAGTACTAGGGCAGTGCGTTTGGCAATTTTCTCAACATCGGTTTCAGGTTCCCAATTGCAATAGGTGTTAACCGTACTGATGTTAGAGACGTTGGCGAGTGATATGTTTGACTCGTTCATCCTTGTGTAGTATATCTTCTCGCTGTCTGTATATCGTTGTAAAATAATAGAAATAATAACACCAAGACACTCTTATGTACCTTATGATGAAGTTACGATGGGCGTGACTAAGTACTTTTCAGAAAAAGAGAGTTTCTTGACACAAAATGTGACAGTATTTAAAGCAGGCCGAGAACATTGTTGGGCAATTTACTGATCGAGTTAAGCAAAGGATGTGAACAAGTCTCATGACAAAACGTACAGGAAAATTAGAGATAATTAACTGACGACGACTGAATCGGGGAAAAGGTTCCTTGAATAGAATGATTAGGAGCCTTTCATGACTCGCCACAGGAAGCACAAGTCTTTAAGAATAACTGAATTCAAGATG